AAATACTTTAATGTCTATTTCAGGCTTTTATCGTCTATATTTGAAGTAGGACATGCTAGAAAATGGAATAGACCTTTATGCTATTACTACACTCTTAAAAAAGGTGGCTCTTCAAAGGTTCTTTAGTAAAGACAGTGGTTCCATAGAACCATGAACACTCAAAGAACCATTTGCATTCCTAAATGGTTCTTTGCATGGTGAATCAGTTCTTCAGATTGAACAGAATGTGTTGTATACGTTTCTATATAGAACCTTTGTAAAAATGGTTCTATATAGCACTAGAAAACGTTCTTCTATTGTTGCAAGCTTGACATCATAGAACCAACTGTATACAACACATTCTCCATCAATCTGAAGAACGATTTCACCATGCAAAGAACCAGTTAAGCATGCAAATGTTTTTTGAGTGTTTATGGTTCCATATAGAACCACTGTCTTTACTAAAGAACTATTTTTTAAGAGTGTAGGAATTACCATTGTCAAGCTAATGGAAATAAGCATTATTGTAGTGGTAGAAATTTGATGGAAAAATGTCTTTAATAAGGCGAATTCAAAATAGTCTCTGGATTAAATGTTGTATATTTAGGGTTGGCGTAAAACGGCTGGTACGTTCATGATTTAATGAGTATGTTTTTCAGACATTAAATATTTTGCTTTGTTTATCATCCCTGAAGTGGCCCTAAACAGCTGGAACGGTTTAAAGCCTGTACGCTATTTTTATTGTTCCCAGAACAACGAGATGCCATTAGTCTGGAGCTCAAATGGGGAACACTCCTATTACTGCCTTTGGTTTCAGATCAAGTGCATGACCAGTTGTCTACGCTTTTGGACATATAGTTAAAACAAAATCTTGTTACATTAACATACGTTGAAGTTACAGAAGAATTCTGCTGATTTTTCAAATTTATTAAATAGTTAAGATGTTAACAGTCATTCAGAGTGGTTTCATTGTTCATTGTTCACTGTAGAGAAACGTTCCAAGTCAGAATTGTTCACAGTGGTGGTGATGGGAACCAGACGTCTGAAGAATTAAAAGCTTCTGATATGCTTATACATTTTTTTCTGTTAGATTTACGATGAGGTTGCATTCATGGCAGAGAGGTACATGCAGGTAGTGATAAGGCAAAACAGTCCGCAAGGAAGACTTATTTTTTTCATATTTACCACCATTAACCATAACCAACGTTACATTTAAAACTCAAAAGAAGACTCGTGTAGGTTCACTGGTAGTTTTGGACAGTAAATAAAATGGCTATATTTGTGTTGTAGACATTGTGACCCCTGGTTTCTATCACCACCACTGCATTCAACTTGTTCTGTAAAGTTATTGTTTAATTTCGACAACATTTTCGTAAATCAGTGACAGTGTTCTCTGTGGTTGACAGAGACTGAGAAACTGAATGCTTGTAAAGTAATGGAAAAGGAAAAGCCATATCAGTACATGTTCACGATTCACAAAGAGAAAGAAATTGCATGTGTGTTCCTTTTCTCGGCTGCACATCTGAAGGCCAGAGTACACCGATGGGACAAACGCAAACAAACAAGGACAAACACAACGTGCCGTACCCGTGTTTGACCGTTGAACGTTCCTTTGCCTTTTCCTCTGGTTCATTTTACTTGTAAGTTGTTTTTCTGAACTTTCTAAGAGCGACTGTTCGTGTTTGTTCGTATTCGTCCCATCGGTGATATTGTGGAGTCGTATTAAATGTAGTGTAGATTTGAAAAGCTCAGCACATCAGGGGGATATTTTACAAAGCAGGATTTCATAGAATAGCTGGATAGATTAAGTCCTGAGAGAGGAACCTGCCTTGGCGCTTATCCTATTGGACAGGGCTTGACTTTGTCCTGTTATCTGGTTATCTGGCTTACCTGAGAAATGAGCTTTGCTTCGTGAAATGACCTCTTAGTCTTGTTTTGCTTTGACTCCTTAAGCAGAATCCTCTGGAATCCTCCTTTAATGTCATTAAGTGTTTAGTGTGTAGGCCTGGCTTTTGAGCCTGGTGCTTGATGATAGTACACAGCCTGGCAAAGAGGGTCTATAAAGAGGAAATAAAGAGCTAGTGCTGCCGAAGCAGGCAATTCTGTATCATTTTGAGTAGGGATGTACCAGAATGGATTTTCTGGGCTGATAGTGCTGATTAACACCAATGCCAGTAACCAATAATTTACATTTTTTTTTTGTGTATTTTAAAACATGTTAACACTACAGCTAGAGATGGGCATTTCAGTCAGATTTGCTATTTGAATTTGTAAGGCACTGTTCAAAAAAATACTGGAAAAATATTGGTGCTGCCCCATAAAAGGGAGTCTGGGACTGGGTGTTTCATTTGCATCATAAATAATTTTCACACAGCACTTTCTGTAGAATCACTTATCAAACTGAAAATACACTACATGACCAAAAGTATTGGACACCCCCTCCTAATTATTGAATTCAAGTGTTTCAGCTTCACCCATTGCTAACAGGTGTATAAAGCAAACAGCCATGCAATCTCTGTAGACAAACACTGACAGTAGAATGGATCGTACCGAAGAGCTCTGTGACTTTTACTGTCATAGCACTGGCTCTGTCATAGGACGTCACATTTGCCGAAACTTTTTGTTTGTGAAGTTTGTGAAACTTCTGCCTTGCTCGATCTGCCCCAGTCAACTGTAAGTGCCGTAATTGTGAAAGTATCTAGGAGCAACAACAGCTCAGCCATGAAGCAGCAGACCGTGCAAACACAGCGAGGCTGCTGAGTGTTGAAGCATGTAGTGTGTAAAAATCGCCTATCCTCTGTTTTCATCACTCATTACAGAGTTCCAAACTGCTTCGGGGAGCAACATCAGCACAAGAACTGTCAGGAGCTTTATGAAATGGGTTTCCATGGCCGAGCAGATGTGCATAAGCCTAGGATCACTATGTGCAATGCCAAGCGTCGGCTGGAGTAGTATAAGGCCGCCGACAATGGAGTCTGCAGAAATGGAAATGTGCTTTCGGAGTGATGAATGACGCTTCACTATATGGCAGACATAACAGATGGACAAATCTTGGCAGATGCCGACAGTGCCAACAGTAAAGTTTGGTGGAGGAGGGATAATGATCTGGGGCTGATTTTCAGGCCCCTTAGTTTGTAGCATACAAAGACATTTTAGACAGTTACATACTTCCTACTTGGGGCAACATTTTGGGGAAGACCCCAAGACCTTGTTCCAGTCCCCCTGAGTACAAAGCGAGGTCCATAAAGACATGATTTGATGAGTTTGGTGTGGAGGACCTCCAGTGGCCTGTACAGAGCCCTGACATCACCCCACTGAACACCTCTGTGATGATGTTTGGAATGGTTTTGGAATGGGATGTCCAACAAGCTCAAATGGGTGTGATGGTCAGGTGTCCACATACTTTTGTCCATACAGTTTATATAAATATGCCTATGAACAATTTACGAACAGGGGATGCAAGTGGAAGTGCTGGGGTGCTGCGCTCGAAATAGAGTTTTACCTTACTAATGCATAACTTATAGAACCTGATTGGCATGTACTTCACTGATTTGTGGAACAATAAAGCTGTGGAAGATTTGCAGTCTTTTATTATGTAAATTTCAGTTAAAAAAAACATGTTTAATCTAGTTCAGACCAGAAAAGAAAAAAAAAATCCTTGGAAAGTTTCTGCAAGTCTGGCTGACTCTGTTTTTGCCAGTTAATAAAAGATGCTTACAGAGCATTAGAAAAGCTACATCTGGCTGTTTTTGGAAGCCCATTAAAACTGTATATGTAAGTTCTGTTCGTTTTGCTTTAGACACTCTTTCATGCCACAAAATTTCATAAAAATGAAGCATTTAGTCATTTATGACAGTCTTAATACTCTTTCTGTTCCCATCTTTCTTCCACACATACATTCGATGGAGGGTATAAATAATTATTAGCTGAAAAAAAATCTCTTGAAGTTATCTGAGTGCCTTACTTTCCATCGATTCGTCAGCAGAAAAAGTCTGAAACTGAGCCAAGTGATTACTAAAACCCCTGAATCTAAGCTGAGAACAGATTAGTTCTTCTTTAATTCGTATTAAGAAATCAATGGTCAATCTCAGTACAGCAATAAAGCAGTTAGGCCTGCACTTCTATAATTACAAACATGATGTAATGAGTCTTTAAGGAGCCAATTCAGCAACACCGCCCTAAAGGAAACCTATACTGCTCTGAGTAATTCAACACATGTCAGGAATTGACTGTCTGATCCAACATGAAAGGTTGCAAAATGGAAACAAACGTCTAAAGAAGTAGAAGTGTGGGGTATTTAAATCTAACCTCACCATTTGATTAGACTGTTGATAAAATCTTAAATTTCACCTCAATTCACTTCGATTGTGCTATGGTTTATTTTTTTAAACACACTGACTACATACAGTTGTATACTAAAATGAGGACAACCCTGGTCAAATGTTGTTGATTTTCTAAGTGAAAGTAAGTGAACACATCCTCTACAGAGGACACACTTCTGCACATTTTAATGCATGGATACTGTTTATTTGTTGAATTTAACATTGAAAATAATAAAACATATGTGGCCTTTGCAATAATTTTAGCACATTTAATATTTGATGTTTTTTTTTTGTTAACATCAGGAAATAAATAGAAACTGTGCACTGTGCATTTGCAGAAAAATGCTGTATGTATGTTTATTCTCTGTAGGATGTGTGAACTTATTTTTTTGTACTTGTAACTGGAGGAACTATTCTGACTGTAGTGGAATATAGTCAATAAAAACAATGCACCAAGCTTTTTTTATGTTTAGTTATTTCATTTTAGCCAAGCATGAGCACTTATTTTCTTCAATAGTATTATAATTGATTTGAATTGTCTTTATGAAATCAGTTGAACTGCCTCCTTCAGATCGCTGCATCACAATGCATTATGCCCTTACAATATATATTTGAGATGTGTTGTTTATTCCTTATATGACTGAAACTTTAAGCATCATTAATGTGATAAAACTAATTCTCCTCTGTCTCTTTGCTTAGGACTAACATGGACACCCTCAGAGTTCTGGGTTTCAGCATGCTGCTATGTTTGGGTAAGACAGATGTACTTCTATATGAATAAACAATGTTTTTGAATATTTAATTCTATACATATTTAATACTGAATACTACCAAATAATGCCAATACTTTAGTAGCAATGATTCTGAAAACAATTTGTCATTGTGTTTGTGATAGTAACACTTTTTTTGTTATTGTAAATCATATATTATGTTAAAAGAAAAGTTACAAAAAAAATTCTGCCAAGACATATTTGGTATTTTAAGTTTGCATCTTCAGGTTTGCACTGGAGCGCCGAGGCTGATGTTGCTAAAAAGTAATGGAAACTTTAGCCACAAAGTGCATCTAAATCATCACTCACTTGCCTCAAACCATGTTGAGTTGTTATGTCAAATAATCTCAAAATGGTTGGACACCTCTGGTCAAATGACACATTTCTGAGTGAAATTAAATTAACTCCACCTCTGCATTGAACAAGGTGTCATGTCATATTTCTGCAAATTTTACTGCACAACTGTTCTTTATTTGCTGTGGAAAAAAAATTAAACATAAAATGTTTGGGCATCCTATTACTTAATTGACTAATATTATTTTTTGTAAGGATGCACAACATATTTGACTAATTTGGCTTTAATCAAAGTCAGGTGTAGATGATCCCAGAGCTTAATAAATTCTCTGACCCCTCAAGATGTTGTGCATAAACTCAACAGAAATGGGCTCTTCTGAGCTAAAGATGACTAACTGACAGGTGTGCAAAGCAAAACCCCCAAATCCCTGCTAAGGAGCTACAGGAAGATTGGGCTGGCCCAGAAAATCTACTTAACATAGAAGTATCATCAGTAGCACTGTGATCTTCACTGTAATCTTATCACAGATGTTAACGTCTAAAGGTATATATATGAAATCCAGTTTCATTTCAGAATCAACTTCTGTGGTCTGATGAAACTGGACTCTTTTAACAGAGGTAAAAAAAAAGAGCATTTTAAGAAAATAAGCATGGGAATGGATGTACTATGTTTTGGGGTTGTGTGGCAGCCACTGGCACCGGAAATGTTATGGGTTTAGAGGAAACAAAGGATTCTACTACATATCAATAAATCCTGAAGGCCAATGTCCCACAATCAGTGAGGCGTGCGACTTAAGCACACGCCACATTCTTATCAGTTGTATTTTTTTCCATTATGTTAAATTCAGCAAACTAATAATAACTGTCCTTTAAAAATCACGGAAATACATCACATTGAATTTTCTTCCATGCATAGGTGGTGTTAACTACGTTTGTAGAAAATAAATGAAATTTGACCAAAATTGCATGTGGGATTTCTGACACTGTATGACTGTTATGAGTAAAAATTGAGAAAAGTATTTACAATTCTCACTTCATGATGGTTGCTACTACTTTTGTACTACCAGTGTGTGTGTGCAGTGGCATAGATGGCAGTTAGCACAGTGCTAACTGTGATACGAGGGATAATGTGTAAACCTAATTTTCTATCGAACTGTTTCTTTAATGAATGGATTTAATTTAATGTTTTTTTATATTAATATGTGTTTTAACTTGCTGTATCTCTTCACTCTGAAGGCCAATCAGCTTACTCCACGGCCGTGAATGGTAAGGTTACTGCGTATTCATTAAATTATCCCTGAGATTAAATTATTTATTTTAAGTAAAACTACAAGAAAAGACAACAATCTCTCTCTCTCTCTCACTCTTTCTCTCTCTCTCTCCCTAAAAAGATGAGACTGTGTTCCTGGGTGAGGATTACCACATCCCATTGCCAGTGGGCGGTGCTGAGGTGGTGTTTAAGCCCATGGTTGGTCCCGCAGGCCGCGAGCTGTTGCTGATGAAGGCTGGAGTAGTGGTGAACCCTCGGGTCAAGCTGAGCCAGGCTTCGAATCATCTGATCCTGGAGAATGTTGGAGAGACTGACGAGGGGGTCTACATCGTTAAGTCCAACGAAGATCCTCAAAACATCAAGCGCTTGAATATCATCGTCAGAGGTGCTGATACACTCTGCTAGAGATATTTTGCGGCTTAACCCGTACAATGTAGCACATGTGCACTGTCTTCGCATGCTTATTACATCTTATATTATTGCTATTTGAATTTCCACATTTGTAAACAAACACTATTTAGTTATTCCAATGAGAAAATTCTGTATTGGTATGATTACAGAAGGTTTACCATTTGTTAATTATGTGCAGTTAGCAAGTTGATCTGTGATTTAATGTGATCTAATGTGATGTATAGGTGATTTAAACCAGAGTTGCACAAACGTAATAATAATTTCTCTTTTTTGTTTGAAATATTGACATACACCAACTGGCCACTGGCTCTATTTACTATATAGGAGCACTCTGTAGTTCTACAGTTACAGACTGTAGTCCATCTGTTTCTCTGCATACTTTGTTAGCTACAGGACCACCACGCAGCAGGTATTATTTGAGTGGTGGGTCATTCTCAGCACTGCAGTGACTCTAACGTGGTGGTGGCGTGTTAGTGTGTGTTGCACTGGTATGAGTGGATCAGACACAGTAGTAAACGTGGCTACACTGTTAAATGTGGTTCTTATTAAGTTAAAGGACAATTTTCAAATAATAAGTCACTGTTAAAAAGAAATTCCATTGATCTTTTTTTTTAATTCTGCATAGTTCGAGGTTAAAATGTAGAAGTTAGTCGGCGCTGTTTGATGTAAAATTGTTTTCGCTGTAGAGAAACGTACCGAGTCTATGCACATTTGTTTACAGTGGTGGTGATAGGAATCAGGGCTTGACATGACTAGAACACAAATATAGTCATTTTATTTACCATCCAAAATCACCAGTGATGACGCATTATTATATGTTGATTTTGGTAAAATAGTGGTAAATCTAGGGACATAACACCTTCCTCTCTGCAATATATGGATTTTAAATATACATTTTAGGCCCAAACCTTCTCAAGACTATTATTAAACAATAAGTCTGTTTACATGCACTTAATAATGCAATAACTGCAGAAAATCAGATTTTGTCAGTAATCCGATCAACGCATTTACATGCACTTGAGTAATCAGATAATAGGGAAACTCCAAGTCTACATGATTCAGGCAGTAATCAGATTTCAGAGTAAGAGTTTACATGCACTGAGGAATTTGATTACTGAGCTAAAATCCAGCTCTGTTTATCAGACTGCGATCTAAGAAATTGGAATCTGCTGTTTACATGATCATTTGAATAATCAGATAACTGCAAAAATCTGAATATGATCGGATGACTGAGTGCATGTAAACGCACTCAATGGCTCAGACATCAGGCAGCGTATTCATAATCATTTAATTTCATAACTTTCTATGTGGGAGCAGGTATCAGTATCAAAGTGGTACATTCTCTGCAGATCTACATCACTCAGTCAAAATTTACAAGATAATACCTGATTCATTTCACGATTAAGTAACTGAAGCCAAAATGAGTCTGGACTTTTCTATATTTGAATAACCACACCCATCCTAATTATATTATGTCAAAGTGTACTTCACATCCAAAGAGAAACAAATACAGTATGCGCCCTGAATAGGCGTCATTATTACAGGGTGCATGAAGTTAATGGCATAGGGGTGTAATGATACAGTGCGGTAATTACTGCTCTGTCATACCAGCTGTGGTCCTTATCCTCACTCACCCTTAATGTTGCTATTCTCTCTTTCTGTTCTGTCTATTAAACTTTCCATTTACTTTTCAACTTACTTTGGAGTTAACAATTCATACAGCTTTACCACGCCAGTTTCTCTGCAGGGATCAACAATGTTATTTTTATCTTCATTTCTCTCTCCTACACAGACTGCACCATCGAGGACAACGTGAAGTATGGAGATAATTTCCGCATCTCCCTTTTGGGAGTATCCGCCCCCGTAGGGGTGGGCTTTCGGCCCAGCGCTATTGAGGCCAATCAGACGTCTCAGCCGGCACTTGATCTCCTGAAAGCGGATGAAAGCTTCAAGGCAGGGTACGGGAACCGCCTCAGCATTACTGAGGAAAGTCTCATCCTGTATGGCGTCACTGGCGCTGATGAGGGAAGCTACACCATTACCGACGCCAATGGGAAAGTGAACAAGAAAATCTGTCTTAATGTGAAAGGTGAGAAAGAACATGGTGGTCACCCTCTGTGTAAAAGTGGTCCCCTGTGTTTGGGGTGGAGTCCGATACTATGAAGGCCAGTGCAAGCTTTATTAGGACTGAATTTTTGGTAGCCTCCAAATACTTGTCTGAATATTAACACAGGGTTCTCACGGATCTCATCTGAAAAGTCTTATAAAGTCTTATAATAGATCTTTTTGAAAAAAATACTGTCATAAAATGTCTGAAAATGTATTATTTTTTACCACAGAGTTATTAAATGTAGGGAAACGATCCAGACATATATTAAGGGATCAGGTCTCCGCAAACATACGCTTGATTAGTGGATCCATAGGTTCATTTTAGTTTATTTTCTTTTTCTTAAATATTTAAAGAATGAATTTCACTACTTAGAGACGTGGCTCTATTTTCACATTTCAGTAATAATATCTTAATTCTGATTGGCCCATAAAAAATTAAATACTACATCTGTGGTTAGGCTGATAAATAACTGTGAACTGCTGCTGTGCTGCATTCGGAGGAGAGGACCCTTCCCTTTTCTCTCAAAATCCCCTCCTTCCGAAAACGAAAAACTCATCAAATCCACATGACGTGAATGGCACACGTCAATGAATTTCACAGAAAGGTGATGTCTGCATGTGGTTATGTACGGATGGAAGAAAACAGGCAACATTAAATGAGGGCAGGAAGACTGAATAGTGATGGTGTTGTGAGGGGAGAGAGAGGAGAGAGAGAGAGAGAGAGAGAGAGAGAGAGAGAGAGAGAGAGAGAGAGAGGCGAGTTCAGAGTTCCTCCTTCCCTGACTGCATTGAACAGCCAATGAAATATTGATGCCATTTCTTCCTCTCCTCCACTGTCTTCTCTCTCATTTCCTCTTGTTCCTTTATTTCTCTTACTTCTTTTAACATCTGCTTCTGCTCTCTGACACCACCTTAAAGGGGAATTACACCTTTTTCACATTTTTAAAATTTTTAGATAAACTTTGTTCACAGTGGTGTTAATAGGAACCAGACATCTGCAGTTTAATGCCTATAAAAGCTATTATATAATATGGTTATGAATATGCTGCCTGATGCCTGACACACTGTTTTACGATAGTTTTGAGATAAGATTTTGGCCTAAAATCTTTTTTTTTAATCCATTCATGGTGGAAAGGTACATGCAGGGCACTGTAAGGCAAAATAGTCCCCCAAAAAAATTAATTTTTCAGATTTACCATCAACATTACATTTAAAAACTCAGAAGACACAAGTAGGTTCACTGGTGGTTTCGGACGGTGTATTACATGGATATATTTGCATTGCCACCCCTGGTTCCTATCACCACCACTGTGAAGAAATCTGAGTCTACAATCAACCGTTTCACACCACTCTGAATGACTTTGTTTACATCTCAATGACTGAATTATGTAGAAATTTTAAAAAATTCGAAAAGAAAAAGTAATGCGATTACAACAGTACGTTTCCCTGCCTACTTAAATGATACTTACCTGCCTTCTTTGTTTGTTTACTTTCTTTCTGTCTTTCTACCTTTTTCAATTCCTTCCCTTCTTTCTGTCTTCTTTCTTTTCTTTTGTTCTCTTTCTTTCATTCCCTCTTTCTTTTTTTTCATTCTGATCTTTCTTTCTTTCTTTCCTTTCTTCCTTCTTTATTTCCATTGTCTCTGCAGAGCATCAGAACTTTGCCGACGTGCCGTACGGAGGCACTTTTAAATTTAATCTGCACTTAAACAGCTCCTCTGCCCGTGTGGTCTACTTCGAGGACTCCAGTCCGTCCGCCCGCTCCTGGGTTATCATGGAGAGAGGCGAGCTGACCCTGCCTCCTGAGTGGGACATGGAGGGCCGCTTCACTGTAGAGGACTCAATGTGTATCCTAGAGCAAGTGAAGGCCAGTGATGGAGGACTATATCGAGTCACTGATCTACAGGGCTTCCCGGTTTCGAATGTTCATCTGCAGGTGCAAGGTAAAGAAATTTTACATTCCCTTTTCTTCCTTGTTTTTCTTCTACCGAGTACAACTTATGATGAGCTTTAAGAAGCTAACACTACCATTGAAGCTAGCAGCCGGTGAGCAAGTGTTTTTGTTCGTATTTCACACTCAACCAAAAAAATTTAAGTAATTTAATTTAATTGTCCACGATTGTTTGTGTGATTGCAGTGCATTGTTTCATTTCGATCAATAAGGTATGCTATTTGGCCAAATTAGATGCTTTAGAGTGACATAAAATGACCAAAACGACCATTAAATCGTTACTTGTGGTTATTACAACAGTTCCAGCTGTCAGTTTCAGGCAAAAAATGAACCAGAACTAGACTTTTAGTTCAGCTGGTTCATTTTTGGGTTTGTTCTTGTTTTTCAATGCCAAAAGGGCGATGATTCCTGAGTAATATTTATTAATATAACATCACAGTAACAAAGTAGAGGAGAAAACTAGTAAAAATGCAGTGTTGTTTGACTTTTATTAATAGTAAAATTTGCCCCTCTTTCTTGGCCTTTCAGCGTACAAGCTGCCTACTGTCATTGTGGCGGTCATTTCTCTGGTGGCCTTGACGGTGGTGCTGCTGCTTGTGTGCTTGGTGTCATGTTTGGTGAAAGTACGCAGAAGGGCTGAAAAAGCTCGGGCCATAGAGAAGATTGCCCAAAATGCTGGCAAAGAGGAAGGGGACACTTTCAGACAGGTAACAAAACTACAGAGCGGCACTGAGCAAGAAACACATGTAGAAGATCAAAATTGAAGCTGAAGCTGTCATTTCTTTTTGATTTTTGTTTATTTTCTACATTAACATTATTGGATAATAAAATATTAATTAGTCAGAATGGATGTTCTTAGTCCCCATGTGCAGGATTAAGAAACATACTGTTTTCAGGACTGCTTAATTATACTGGTTGTCTTTTCTGGATATTCAAAAAATGGTGCCAGGTTGAATAATTAAAAATAAACTTTTACATTTTTTTATCAGTAGTGGATGGCATTAACTGTATTGCACACTGTATTGCTACTGTTGGAACAAAACCTTGTATCTCCGAAAAGGTAACTTTACAAGACAAGGAAAAACATTCTTAACTTTTAATGGAAGTCAATTGCAAAATATGTTTTCTAAGTAATTTTGGACCATTTCTGTTGGTCTGTTCAAATTGTTTTCAAATTATGTCAAAAAATAAACAAAAATGGAGACACAAGGTTTTGTCCCAGCAGCAACAATACACAGTTATTATTGACCATATAGCTTTATTCTGAAAAAAATCAGAAAAGAACAACCTGTGCTAAAAGCTTTAGTGCTGTTTGCAGGTGGTGCAGGATGCCTTCACCCGCCACAATGAGGAGGCCCCAGCTCTGTCACAAAAAGAAGATATTACAGAGAAATCCCAGAGCACTGAAGTCAGCATTAAGGTTTGTACTGTCAAGAAACAAACTAAACGTAATGCACAAAATGTGCAATGTTTTATGTGCACTTTTTTCAAATTAGTGTTGTATCCATACCATTTTTTTTCTGACCAAGTATGAATATTTGCCCATACCAATTTCAATAATGTACTGAGTAAACTGCTTAGAATTTTGAAGTTGTTAGTATATGTGAGTGCAATGTACCCTAACGATTAACTTACTAAAATCAAGCTGATTTTAAATAGCGTGCATTAGCTAGCTATGCTACATTAGTCACTTCAAGTCGGGTTGTGCTGCAATGGAAAGAGCGAGTTTTGATCCATATCAGAAAAGTGCTTCTGTACAGCTGTAAGTAAAGTACATTTCATAGTTTTGTTCCTGTGTTCCTCAACAGTCTTCGTTGCACAGTGACAGCAGGAATCACGTCCGAGTCTAATGCAACTGATGAGCTCATGTTTCATGTTATACGTGTCGGAGTCTTTTTGGCCAGTTGGCTGGTTGAGCTGTAGTTGAATGTCCTCTGAAGCCAGGTAGATACTGTGATTAGAAATCTTGCTCTGTAACTATGTTTGAATAATTCATCATACTCACACCATCTGAAAATGCCACGTCCAATGAACATGCTGCATGAAACGCAGCCTCTACAGACAGCTCTGTTTCTCTGTCTACAGACAGTTATTAATAAAGCTGTTCAAAACAATCATTCAAAACAATATGCTGCACACCTGAGTACTGAGCAAATATGCTGCTTCAGCAGCTTTGCTCTCTTTTACCACACTGTGCACTAGGCAGTGATCTACACAGTAGGACAATACAGTCTCTCTATAGCCTGTTTTACAAAGACAACTTAAAAAAAAACACTATAGCAATTCTATTGAGTCAAAGTAAAGTCAGCATATATGGACTATAGTACTGCAAATGCTGACTTTTTTGCCTCCGTTTTGTTAGCCTACATTATGTTCTCCCGGTTTTGGGAAGTGTTTGTGTGTGTTTAATAACCGGCTGAAATCACACTTTGTATTCCTCGTGGGAATATTCCAAGGCGGAATGTATGAAATGGTGGTGGTATTGGATATTGGTATTGGTGCATTTTTATAAGTACAACTACGAGTAAATGAGGGGATATCGGGCTGATACCCGATACCAGTATCGTTATCGATGCATCCCTATTTCAAATCAATTTAAATAAACTAAAAGCTCTTCCTCTGAATGTTCAAAGTGGTGGTGGTATCATATGTTGGTACTGGTGCATTTTTATGAGTACAAGTAAGTGAGCCTGGTATTGGGCCGATATCTGATACCAGTGTTGGTGTCAGTGCATCCCTATTTCAAATCAACCTAAATCAACAAAAAGCTCTTCTTCTAAATGTGTAAAATGGTTAGGGTATTGTATGTTGGTATTGGTCTTTTTCATTAACATGATTATGAGTTAATGAGCGCAGTATCGGTATCAGTGCCTCCCTATTTCAAATCATCAAAAAGCTCTTCCTCTACTATTTTGTGTATTATGTCTAGGGTCTGGAAGTATCTGCTAAAGACACAAGCATCCATGAAAAGAACCTGGAGACTAGTGACTCTGGAGTAGGTTTCAACACAGCCGGTCTTCCATTGGATAGTGACACTGAGGCACCAACAGCACCCATTACAGAGACCGCTGACAGTAAACCTACTGCCAATCAAGTCCCAGAGCCAAAACCCACTGTTATTCCACCTTCTGGACCAGCACATACCACTGAGACGAAGCCAGCATCTGAGAAAAAGGCTCCGGCACCTGCAGCTCCAAAACCAGAACCAACTCCTGAACCCAAACCTGTAACACCAACACATGAACCAAAAATGACCATCTCACCTAGTCCTGAATCAAAACCAACCTTAAGTCCATCTCCAGAACTGAAGCCTGCCGTGACGCCCGACGTGAAACAAGCTGTCAGCCCAACTCCTGAAAGCAAGCCAGCACTGGAGGTCAAACCAACACCCACTCCGGAAGCCAAACAAAGTCCTGAACCCCCAAAAGCTGTGACACCAACACCTGACTCAAAACCAGCAGTCACTCCAACGAAAATCCCAGTCTCTCTAACTCCTGATCTTACACCAACCAAACCGGCTACCTCTGACCCCACACCTGCTGTGAGCCCAACACCAGAACCCAAACCAGCAGCCGTTACCCTTTCCCCTGATGTCAAGCCTGCTCTATCTCCATCTCCAGATCCTAAACTTGCTGTGTCACCTACCCCAATGCCAACCACCAACGGAACCCTCGAGCCCAAGCCGGATATAGGATCTCCTGAGCCAAGTGCAACCCTGGATCTGAAAGGCACTGAACCGTCCAAATTAGCATCTCCAAAAACCCCAGACACTGAGAAAAGCTCAGTAAAAACCCCGGAGGTCATCTCTACTGGAAGTCCACCTACAGAGGCCAAGCCCAGCGATGGCGCTCCTGCCCCAGGCCAGGAGGAAGCTTCCACCACCTGAGGTCAAACCCACTGCCTCCAGATTTCTGTTCCCTCCAATGTCCTTAACACCGCTGACAATCGAGGATATCTTCTCTAACAACAAGCAAGAATTCATTGACTTATTATGAAGGAGGGCCTTTTTAGTGTTTCAAGTTTCACTCTTAATACGTAACTAACAAAACAGTGACAATAATTCACTGTAGATTCACCCGATTTATTACTATTTAATCACTTTGTAACACTACTACCATAACAAATATGAAACACAGAGACGTACCACTACTTTGATTGTCTATTTGATGCAGCCTGAGAAAGTCTGCGTCTGATAAAAAAAGATGTACAAATGCAACATTCCTATCATACTTAAATGCGTCGCCACTGCATGCAAATATTAAGAGAATGAACTAACTGCATTAGACCTTTCCTTATTCAGAGATTGCAGTAATGAACGAACACTGGACTGAGTCATAGTAAACCAACATAAAGCAATTTTCCATCCCGTCCCAATTTATTACTGACACTCCACAGAGATTTTAACTCTATAATATACAGTTTAATTTAAAAAAAATCACCATATTATAACACATAAATTACCAATAGACAAAATCACCTAAACCTATATAGTATTAATGAAAAAACAATTTTAATTACTATGAAACAATGTGGAATCTGATGAACACTTACAATCACCAAATACAATACGCTGCAACCTTTCCTGGATTACTTCCTGACTTTCTCCATTTGGAACACTCTGGAACCTTTTGTTTTTGGAGGAATCCTGCTGGAACATTTCCAGTCCAAATTACGCCAAGAAAGACACATTTTTTCACGGATTTCCTCCCCAAACACTTGAACAAAGCCTTACAACACTGGACCTGTTTGGGTTAGTCTAACAACAAGATAATTTCAGCAGTAGGCCAATGTTCCTAGCATTCCCATACAGCCATTTCCTATATTGCTGTACATGTATTGTCAGTAATATAGGCCAAAGAATTTTCAACATGTAGATCTAACTGGCATGATCTGTTATAGTAACCACTTATGGGTGCCTGTTCTTATTCAAAATTGATTTGCTGACTCACTGAATTCTGTAGCATGTTCTACGAGGAACTCCAGATGCTTCTAGACTGAGACAGGGTAAGTGTGCTGATGCAGAACAGGTTTTTAATTTTCTTACCCGAATTGAATGCAGTTTTCGGGATGGGGATCTGATCCTACATCAGCATTCTCACTCTGAGATTCTTAAAGACACAGACCTCTCATTTTGTAGTCGGCGGCATGCCCACATAAGGAATTCCGGGTCTAAGCCTATGGGAAAAATGAACGTTATTGAAAATCGCAGGTAAACAAAAACATCCCAAAGTCTATACATATACAGGGTCTATACTGTGTATACTGGATCCTCCGAATTACAGGGTTGTTAAACAGTTGCTACATCCATGCTACAACCAGTCACTTGAATGGAAATGATGTTGCATGAAAGTAAGTCTAATACTGAACTCTATTCTACAACACCAGCTGCTCAAACTATAGGTTAGTATTGCCAAAGCTGCTGGTTTGCTTGGGTATTTTGATCAAAATTATGACCGTTCAATGTGCTGCAGTTTTAGCTTGCATCATATAGCAATATTCACATTTTAACTACTTAATGACCTCTTACTTCAGAAGATAGTACAGTGGTATTCAACTAAAAAATGTATCATCATTTTTGTTTTCATGTGCCAGCTGCAATTTTCTAGAATGCCCATATGGAAAAAAAGTTTGGACCTGGCGTTCCTTATATGGGCATTTCGCTGAAAAAGTGACTGATTCATTAATAAGACTGGCTTTTTGTGGTGAAACTTTCATGTAGCTGTAGTTGCCTAAAATATGCTCCTTCAATTCACTTGAAACCTAAGTTACCATCCTAATTTTGCGAAACAATCGAATTGCGGTTAACTAGCTAGCTAGTTAAGCTAAGCATGCGCCAGCGAATAAGCAACATTATTTCGGTTTAGCTAGCTAGCTAGTTAACCTAACTGTTTCCCTGCGAGTGAGCAACATTGTCTCAGTTGAAATGATATGATTTGACTTCACTTAAACCTTGTGTTGCACTACAGTTGCTTAATGTTAATCTTAGCTGGCTAGTCAGCTAACATGACTGCTGTCTGGACGACTGCTTGTTCCAGTGTTTGTTCTGCTTTGTTATCCTGCTGTTGTCACAATCTAAGCTAGGTTCATTTTCTCTTCTCTTGACACCCTATACATTTTCACACGGTGGAGATTCCATGTAAAGCTGGATTCAAGAGTCGAGTTGGATTTCATCATCAGTTGTCAAAGTCAGTTTACTGAGACTCTGGGTGCCTCTTGCAGAATTTGAACACCACTGCCCTTTTGCTACTGCACCAACGGTTTTGGAAACTGCTGTCTATGACCTGTTTATGTAGGCTTTTCTTCTATTTAAAGGTTGTGCATGGTAGCTAGTTATGTCCTTTCAAATGGGGGTGTACCTACAGTATCGGAGATCCGATTTTAGCACTAGGTAGATTTTGCTAATGCAGAAGAAAACCTCTACCTCGCATTGTGAGTCAACTCTAACCAACCGAGAATGGTACATTCACTGTAGTGCACTGAAAAAAAAGGACTTTGTAGGCTTTTCTGGTTAAAGCACAAAATTTTATCCTCTAATGAGTGAAGCTTTACAGACCACCAATCTTAGGCATCTCTGATCCCCCCAACCACTCCCTTACCATTTCTCAAATGGCCTTGTTCTTTCTAAGTCTTTTACACCGGTTTTAATACTAGTAGTCTAAAAGAAATTTAAAAGCCATAAGGTATAATACATGTAGTGTAATAATACATAATACACAATGTAAATAGCATGTGATTATTATAAATAATTATTATTATCCACATTAGCTAACTTCCCTTATAGGCTCTGTTATAGGATTCTGCATATTCTTGATATTAACTGTAGTCGCAGTGGAAATGACCAATATTAGCTAATAAAGCTTTTAGTCACTGATGCTTTGAAAATTTCTCTTTCTGACCCAAATCATGTAGGTGATGAAACTTTTTACTCCCCAAGCAAGCAGCTGAGTGTCAAGATCAAGATCTTTTTAAGCAATACTGAGTGCAACGAGCCTATGCACATACACGCACACAGACACACATACACAGCCCTCGGCCTCTTACTTACTAGTTGTGGTAGGATTAATAAAGGCAGGGGTTCCCACAATGAAGAGTTCACACAACACACAAAAATAATTAGGTGAAATTATATGAAAGAAATTATAGTTTTACATCCACTTACGTATGTCAGTATAATCTAAATTGGTCCCACTTTACTCAATGCTTGCTCTTGCAAATGAACCCTAGGGCTGTTTCTTGCTATAAGCAGTATCTTAGGACCTGTGAGCCACTAGAGGGGCTCGCAAGTACAGTCGTGTGAAGAATTAAGTATACCCCATGAAATGTTTCTCTTTTTTTTACATGTGGATAATATGAATAATAATATGCCCGTATGAACGGATATGTACAGCCCCTTTCAAATCCCTCCACAGCATTTCAATGGGATTCAGATCTGGGAATTCCCCATTCCTTTCCTTTCGAGCTATTCTTTCGTGGATTTACTTGCATGTTTGGGATCATTATCCTGTGGAAAGGTCCGCTTCTCCAGCTTCAACTTTTTTTTTCTTTACAGATTGTCTCACATTCTCCTTAAGCACTCTCTGGTATGAAAGAGAATTCATAGCTGATTCTATGATTGCAAGTTGGCCAGGGCCTGAGGCAGCAAAGCATGTTAATTCTAAGTGTCACTTGTTAAGTTATATCACCTTTATCTATCAGCACTTTTTAAATGAAGATGAGATATCTGTATCTCCAAATATGAAAAAGTCTAAACTTTTCATGGGTGTACTTCTCATGACTGTATATATGAGTTTTTTTTTTTAAACATTGATTTTAACTTTCCTGATTGAAATGAATGAAGTATTCATTTTTTCATCATTCATGCACATAGTATAACATGCATGGGGTGGCTGGGGGCAAGCAGGACATTGCTTAGGGCCCCCAAATGTTAAGAAATGACCCAGAATGCATTATTCTAGAGGCAGTGATGTGTGGCACTGTGTGCTGTATAATTCATGAAGCAACGAAAGAACACTTATACAAGAAGGTTAAGACATGAACGGTACATCTGACTGGGCCTTCAGTCCACATAAGAAAGAAAGGATCTCTGACATGAAAACATTTGGGAACCCCTTCCTTATGAGGTTACTGTAGGAGAAGTCATTATGTATATAAAATGTTTCTTTCTGTCCAGATAAATACGTCCCAAACTGAAGCCCATTTCATACACCATTTTATTCACACACCATTCTCTACAGACATATCCATACCCAAAGAGTCAGGCGTGCTACTGTGCCCCTGGGCCAGGTGAAGTTCGAAGGGGTCATATCACGGAAAAAAAATCCTTGTTTTGTGAAACAGAAGGGTTAGATATAGTATGTAAGCACTTCAAAATTTGGGCTGACCGCAGTTATTTTCACGGTTGTTAGCTTTCGAAATGTTTACGTCTCAACAAACAGAATATGAAATGGGTAGCTTGTTAAATGCAGTTATTTATATGACACTTAATCATCATGTGTGTTGTGACAGGCCTGCAGCCTTCCATATCCATATCTTTTTGCCAAACTCGGAACGTCACCTGTGTTCTTCAAGGGAATTCCACTGGTTTTTCAAAACTTCTGCATACTTAAATGATCAAGAGTCAAGCAAAGTCATTCAGAGTGGTTTGTTGGGAGATGCCCTGTTCTAGAGAAAACAAGTCAGAAGAGTTCACAGAGGTGGTGACAGGAACCAGACGTTTATCTCTACAAGCTAAATCACAGTTATCACATGAAATGACAAAATAGTCCCAAAAACAAACCTTTTTTTTCGTGATTTACCACTATTTTACCATTTTAGCATTACATATATATATATATATATATATATATATATATATATATATATATATATATATATATATATATTTATATTATATTACATATATTTTATATATTAAACATATAAGACACGTATAGGTTCACTAGTGGTTGTAGACATTGCAACCCCTGGTTCCTGTCACCACCGCTGTAAAGAAGTCTCTCATACTATGAACTATTTCACATTAAACCGCTCTGAATGACTGTTTACATCTCAGAGCCCCTTTAAAGTCCGCATGAATGGCAAATCATAACACATTTTCGTCCTGTGATGTATTCGTTAGTGAAATGTGTCAGAGAGGGTTTCTCAACTAATTGAGCATTTTCTCTCAATGATAGGTGGGGATGGTGTGAGGGGGGAGTGAAACCTCATTATTAGTCATATTATTGGTCCCTTTTTAAAAACTACTAAGCTTTAAAATTAGCTATATTTAGTTCAAGTACATTTCCTAAGATGAGAAATAAAAGTGGCCCATCATGCTCAAACAACCCCACAAGAAGTGATGCACAGCTAAGAACATCACGTCACACAGTGTGAGCGGGTGCTATTTCACGACAGATTTGTTACAGAATTGGATCGCATTCATTCTTTTTTCCCCTCCCATATTCAATCTGTCTATTTGAATCAGCACAGTGGCGACATGTTAGTCTTCCCAGCTTGGTAGTGTTGTGTCATTTGTATGACTGGGGAAGACCTAGCTAGCAGATGGACTTGGGGGGGAAAAATTTAAAGATTTTGTGTTTTTGGTACAAAAAACACATGATAACAGTGGACTGACTCAGGGGTACAGTAAGTAAACAAGGGTAGTGGCCCATTCATTTCTAACACAGACCTCAAGCCCTCAACGTGTGGCCTAGACCTCAAACCACAAAGCAACTATTAGCTTTTTAAATGACAAATTTGTGTGAATAAACTGCAGATGCACTGATCTAATCTGTAAATCTGCTGTCACGGTCAAATGCTTAGCTGCAATACGCAACAAATTCAGTGCTAGTTTAAGCAATCATACAATATATCAACATAGTTATTACTGACTGCATTTGCTAAAAGATAGCCGAGCAGCATGAACTCAGAAAAGAAATCACCTTCTGCACACAGCTAATACATGCATCCCTTTTGTACAACCAGTGCTGTTTGTTTAGTGTTAAATGTGCACAATGATTCACATTATCTCTGTATACTGTGTGTGCAGTGAGTATTAAGTGTGGGGTTACTGATGTCTTATGATGTGTATTCATTGTTGGCACCAAGCATCTGCATTCGATTGTGTTCGTGAAGGTGTGTGTATGCGTGTGTGAGTATGTGTGGGTTCTGTGTTTACGATAAGAATACCCTGGATAAATGATGTATGTTGAGCTTCACCGGTCGTTGTAATTCCTTGACCAAGAAAACCAGCGTGTTTTGTCAGACTCTGTTGATTGATGTTCTTATTCAAGTATTGGCTACACACACAGGCTCAAGACCTTGTATACACTCTCTAGCAGCAAGTAGTTTGGCTACTACATCAGGGGAGATGTAATGTGATCTACGACAGTTCCAGGCTATCCAGGATGTCATTAGTTTGTGAAGTCATGCTATACACTACCTTTCAAAAGAGAAGGACTGCTAATCGTACTAAAAATGTATACTTTATTTAATAATGACTTACACAATGTAGTAAATACGTAACAATATCAATACAACACTGAAAACAGCAGGGAGGTAGACCGTGGCTTATGTATCAGAGTAAAGTGGGGGGAAAGGTGAGGGGCTCAACCAGTCAGTGTGAGGTAGGCAGGGAGGAGTTTATCCTATCAGAGTAAAGTGGGCATAAAGGTGAGGGGCTTATTCTGTCAGAATAAAGTGGATGAAAAGGTTAGGGGCCTATTTAGTCTGAGTAAAGTGGGCAAGTAGAGGAAGAGGCTTATCCAATCAGGATACGGTGTGTAGGGAGGGAGAGGGGCTTATCCAGTCAAGAGTAAAGTGGGTGGGGAAGGAGAAGGCCTTATGCCAACAGAGTAAATTGGGAAGGGAGGACCTTATCATATTGAAGTTGGGGAGAAGGTAAGGGACTCCTATAAGAGTAAAGTGGGTGGACAGAGGGAGGGGCTTATCCTATAAAAGGAAAGAAGGCGGAGATACAAGGGACTTATCCTATCAGAGAAAGGCGGATAGGGAGGAGCTTATCCTATCAGGATAAAGTGGGCGGGGAGTGGAAGGGCTTAGCCTATCAGGATAAAGCGGGGGGGGACTTATCCTATCAGAGTAAAGTGGAGGGACTTATCAGATTCAAGTGGGAGGGGCTTATTATATCAGGGTAAAGTGGTGAGGGGGAGGGGTTTATGCTGTTCATACTAACACTTAAATGACTAGCTCTTATTTTGAACCTGAAAATTCATCTTTATTGCAAAATTTGATAACTAATCACTAACATTTTATTTTATATCTGTAGTTTTAGATGCTTTATTTAATAATATCATGTTTTAGGAACAAGAGTAAGTTAAATAGGATAAATAATACACCATAATTTCATATTATGGTCGGTATTATCTATTTCTAGTAGTTATCTGCTTTCAAATCTCATCTCCACTTTTGAAATACGATTTATCGTAGATGTATTAGTTTATCATTTCAGATGCTCTACAACTTCCTCAGTTATTATAGAATCATTTTAAATTTCTTTCATCATTCTTAACGCATCTAACATTTCGGTTCCTATGAATGATGTGAAACCTATTAAGTACAGAGTTAGCATCATATTAGTAAAAATATTATATCTCTTATACATGTATCTGCAATAAAATTGCATTTATCTTATTAAAAATAGAGATTCCAAACATTTCAACGCTGATTTCTCACTTCTGAATGGCAGTGTATATCAAGATGCCCACCATTAAAGCCGCACTATATGGTTTCAGAACAAAGTGGTGACACTTTGTTGGCTGAAGAAAAAGGAAGAAAATTCAGACAGAACGCACAATGAAAGGACCAAAGGCTGATAATCTGATAAGGCATGCTTCAAAGCTCTAATGGCTTTACATTTCAAATAACTGTAAGCAATGGAATTACAAGCTTCTTATACTGAATGAGAATAAAAATGGGCGTATTCATGAATGGGTAAGAGAGCTTTTGCGATCTTTAATCTGGTCATCTATATGGAATGGTCTTGAAATAAAATGCCAAGAGCAAATACTTGAATGCAATAAAGTTGACATTAAACTGATCACCTCCTAAATGACTGTGGTTTTAATATCAAGATGATTCCTATGCAATGTTGTACTATTTCAGCACACTTTTTCAGCTCTTATCCGCAGGCAATAGCTAGTTTTGCCCTGTAGCTTAAAGGCTAATGTAGCTAATAAAAGCCTATACCCGACCTATAGTGTAAACCTCATGTCTACATTACCTCACACTTTCCTCAAACCATGTTGAGTGGTTAAGTGATCTCTAAAAGACTTGTTTTTGTGGCTTCTTGCACTGTATGGCGCACTGTTATCTACAGACATGGACAAAAGTAGTGCCTAAATTCAGGCTTCCAGACTTCTTAGCTTGCAAATGTGACTATAAAATGAGTAGATATGTGACTTTCAGTTAAAGATAGGTATGTAACTTGCCAGAAATCCAGTACAATGCCAAAGCTAAGCTTACCACTTGAGAACCAGAAGGGGAAAGAAGGAGACGAATAGTTTAACTGTAATTTGATCCAACGAAAAAGTCACCTCAGCCTGAAAAAAATGCATAGAAATGAATACTTTATTTTCTGAAAGGATGACAGAGGATATTCCTTAGAGAGTTCTTCTACAGAGTAAGCCTTTAAAAAGTCTTTAGTTACGTACAAACAACATTACAGCTTCGTTAGCTTGCTAGCATAACCTACTCGCTATACCTGCCTCAGCAGCTCATCCACAGCATCAGCCTCAGTGTCTCGTGTCAGGAGACGGATTTTCTCCTTCAAAACCTCGAATTACAGTTACTTCATTACAAGTTTTCAGGTCGTTTGGTAGTTTTTTCCTCCATTGCGGTCTCCTATTCAGCTGCTGCCTAACGGTTAACACTAACGGTCGACGTCAATTCAAAATTCAAAACGTGTCTCGCGCTTTAACGGTCAACTCCATGAAGAATATCCAATATGGCTGTTCTTCAGACTCGTCATCGCTCGTTTCTCTGTTGGTTTCTACACGGTGTGTGAGTTATACTGTTGTGAAAGTGCCAAATTGGTCCAAAATTAGTCGCAATGATGATGGGAAAACAAAAAGAATAGCTATTAACCCTTTGAGGCACGGTGGTCACTGGGAGAAACCACTTTTTGTGTTTTATCATTTCTCAAATTGCATTTGTGTTTAAAGAGGGAACCTTGTTTAATGCTGTTCTGAGGGC